AATAAAAAAATCAAAATTGTTATCAAAGCCTCACCTGCGTGGAAGAGTGATGTGACACATCTAGACAAAGATTTATGAAGTATGCATCGCACTTGCCTTATTTCCATCCTATGTTATTATAAGCTATGTCCAATAAGGAGCAAACATTTGGGCGATTATTCCTAATTAGTGGGGTTAGGTGAAAAGGCTTTATGTACTATGATATATTAGCACTCTAATTAATCCAATCATATGTAAGTAATTAAAAAGGAGAAAAAGTTCATTATATAAATGTCTCCTCGTTTTCAGATTTGGAAATGAAATGGAGCACCCACCACTCTTTTTTATGGTTGGAGGAACATCAAGAGATTTGGAAATTCTTAAAATGAAAAAACGTATCTTTGAGAATTTAAGTAAGAAAAAATGTGGTTGGATGCAGGTGTTGTTTTGTAGTTAGTTGTGGACCTCATTTTACCCCCCCACACACAAACAAATGAAATTTTCATCTAAAAAGTTATTAGGTGATGTATTTTAAAAAGTTAGTTGAAGTGGGGGTAGGAGAAGGGGTACATAAAAGATGTATCGAGGGGTGTAAACAAAGTCTCATATTGATAATTACAAGTTCTGCATATGAATGAATTTCTATTTATAGTAAAAAAAAAAATTGTAGTCCGATGATTTCCCATCAAGTAGGTAACTCAATATTTAAATGCAGTCCATAATATTGTATTCGTATCTTAGTATTAAAAATAAATAAATAAAAGATATGATGTATCATATTCCACTAGGCATGTATCATTTATAATGTTAATATAATTTGTGTCCAATAAGGTAGCAGATTGGAGATTAAAGTGACCTTTGGACCAGGGGCGGCTCAACATAATTTGTGGCCTAAAGCGAAATTTTTATTAGAGGCCTAAAATCTATATAAATTTTATCTATATCTATTTATTTTTCTAAATTTCTAGACGTAAATTACTACTTAATATCTTTTATATAAATGATTTTTCAAACACTTATTTTTTTAATTATTAGTTTTAAGTAAGATTTTATCAATTCAACATTGAAAAACATCGTTTTATTGAGACAATTATTATATGAATTATTAACACAATTTTATAAGTAATAAGTTGATAAACTTTAAAGATAAGAGTTAGAATCATAGAATTTGATTCAAAAAGTTGATAACTTGGTATACCTACTTTAATATGAAAATTAACAAATAAATTAAAAAAAACAATTTGTAATGCATTTTGTTCAACACTTTTCGACTATTGATTTATATTTTTGAGAATGTATTACTCTAACTATCAAAGATTTGAAGAAATAGAGTGCAAAAAGAGTTACAAAGGATAAATAATGTGAGTGTTAACGAAGAAAATATAAGAATTCAAAACAATATTTCCTTAATTTCTTCTATTTAATGGGGTTAAAATACATAATTTTTTATTTATAAAAATTTGAGGCCCCCAAAAATTGGGGGCCTCAGGCCAATGCCTAAAATTTTATAGGCAAGAGCCGGCACTGCTTTGGAGTTTGGACAACATTAAAATTGTTTTTTAATTTATTAATTAGGTTTAGTAAACTGTCCAATCGTATACATACACAACTATAGTGAATAAATGGCAATTTCTGTTTTTGTCTCTCTTTTGCAAATTTGGAAAAGGAATATTAGATTAAATAGTGTTCCTAATCTAAGATTCAGGTGATTACTCTCTTGATTATGGCCCCAAAAGATACGTACGACTAGCTTAATAGAAAGAAAAAAAATATACCTTTTGGGTTTACAAAAGTATAGGAATGGGTTCGAGTCACCATAAAAGCAAAAAAGGTAGGAGTTTCTAAAAAATACAGGTGTTAATTATTCGATGAGTTGACAATATAAACTTTATATTTTCAAATAATTTAATTTTAAAATTTTTCATTTTATTCATAAGGTGATTTATAGAAAATAAATGATAAATTATCTTTTTTAGATGATCACGCGTTGTCAACATATATATATATATATATATATTCTTTCATTTTGCACTCGTACTCAATCAAACACCATCACATAAATTGAGATAGAAGAGTAATCACATACCCATTAAAAATCAGTTAATAACATTAATTATAAGAAATTTATTTGACTAAACTACTCTTATATAACTCTTCCTTATATGATTAAAAATTAATGACTATATATCTTCTTAGACAGAAGTAAGTGAATGGAAAAAATAATTAATGTTTCTTTCTGGTTTAATTTTGGACTAAAGGAGAAATTTTATGAGTTAACTCAAAATAAAAACTCGCACAAAAACTGGCGTATAAACACCAATTCTTACTAATTTAAATAGCCATATATTTAATCACACATTTACGAGGTCTTAATTAATTAGTTCGATTATCACACAGAAATATATTTATCGGGTAGGAGAAAACTAACTTAATGTTGTTTAAAAAATTGATATTTAATTAATACTAACTTGTTGTCAAACTCAAACAAGAAAAAATATTTCGATTTCTAATTAACGTAAGTTTTGTATCATTATAAATAACGGAGAATTGCGAACAACATTACTTTATTGATGAGATTCTAACTAGTACAGAAACCCAACATTTCTTCATTAAAGTGAATTTTCTAATTTTATAATAAAGTACTTATATATAATTATAATATATAGTTCATTATCCCAAACATATACAATATTTTCCTTTAGGTCCCGTTGCACATGTCGCACTTTTATATTTATCCTTCAACAGTTTCTGGCATGCTGCTATACATGCAGGCAGTGTACATGGATGTATATCAATTCCAACTGCACTCTCTACCCTAATTGGATCACAAATAATTAAGGCCATAATCACCATCATAAGCATAATTCCACTATGCTTCCTTAATCACTTACCTTCCATTTCTTAATTACTAGTGGAGTATTTTTTTTTTAATTTTTTTTTTTCTTATGATGAAGTGATGCATAATTGATGAGTTTTCATGTCTATTTATAGCAAAAAATAAAATGTTGTGGTCTTAGAATGATATATTACCCATTAAGAAATCATAATATTTAATCAGTGTTTGGATTAACTTATTTTTAATAGTTTTTGACTTTTAAACTCTTTTGTATTTTTTGGGTGCTTGGGAAAGACAAAAATATGTTTTTAACTTTTAAGCACCTATTTTCAGGCAAAAGTAATTAAGCCAAAAGTAAAAAATGGATATGATGGACTTATGAGTTTTAGCGTTTTAGCTTACGATCTACATATCTATATTTGTATTGTTTTTATTTTTAAACTAATTCTAAGAATGAGGAAGGTGATGTGATGTATATTTCATATAGATGAATATTTCTGTTTCTTTTTTTGTTGATTTTTTTATTTTTAATCTTTATTTATTTCTAGAAAACCGGAAGAAATTACATAAATCTTTATGTCTTCCTAGTTATTACTATCATTTTTTTTATTTTTTCCTAAAATTTCCCCAATTTCGACCTTTTTCTGTCCTTTTCTTCTACTGCATTTAATTCAAGTTTTTGCTTTCTTTTCCTTGTTTGATGGCAGGAAAATTTGCATAAATTTAGACTCATCCCATTAATGCCATTATTATAATTATAATAATTATTATTATCCTCATTATTATTATTATCATTATTATCCTCATTATTATTGCTATCATTATTATTATTATTATCATTTATTCGTGTTTCCTGAAATTTCTTCCCTTTTCTGTTTTTAATTAATTTTCTTCAAGTATTTTTTTTTTAAATACTAAAACAAAATTAAGGGCAGAAGAAGGATAATACACTACAACAAAAACATTTTTTAATGGCAATAAATAGACATATTAATAAAAAGTGTTAAAGTTTTTACCAGCATTAGTTAAGTGTCATTAGATCCATATTGCTAAAGGCTTTAGGAACATATACAAAGAGTGCTAATTGCCGCTAAAAATACATATTTAGAGGCAATTAAGCTATTACCGTTAATTAATTGTCGCTAAGATGTAGTGAGAGAAGGATTACCGGGTGGTGAATCGAGCTCTTACCAACGGTATTATAGTTCAAATATTTTACCAATTGAAATACATATTTAGAGGCAATTAAGCTATTACCGTTAATTAATTGTTGCTAAGATGTAGTGAGAGAAGGATTACCGGGTGGTGAATCGAGCTCTTGCCAACGGTATTATAGTTCAAATATTTAACCAACAGTATTATAGTTCAAATATTTTACCAATTGAGTTTTCTTCTACGACTTAAATTTGGGTGTGCAACCCACAACCTCTGATCTTATTTAGGATCATGTCCTCGATAACTTGAAGTTGTGTCATATTTTGTCTTATCACCTCTCTCCACTTGTCTTACCACTTGTGCATCTATACATCTCCTCTTCACATATCCAATCCGGAGAAAATGAACCAACCACACTTTAGCTTTGATCATGCAAAGGGTGCATCATAGTATATATATAAAAAATTAATCTAGTCTGGGGTTTGTTTTGATAAAGACTGAAAAATTGCTGTGTTTGTCAGTCTTACCATTCTCTAATCATCTACTACAAGTGGACAAAACATTGCATCTCTTTTCTCTTTTGCAAAAATGAATGGATATGGTCACAACACCAATCTGTCCTATAATAAGGAACCGTGGATTAAAAGGACCGAGATGTACTGTGGATTCCTACCATTATTTCAAGTTCAACGTAAAATAATAATTGAGTTCACAATCGATGATTTTATAAATATCTTATAGATTTCTTAATATAAATATTGTAACAAACCCTCTCTTACTCACTAGATAGAGCTTATTCTCTTTCAATCAACAATATGAGAAATGGGGGAGAAACTAAAAAAAAAAAAGGTCTTTATTGAAGAGACTTTGCACCTGAAATAGGACTAATGCAGATCCAGATCAAATGGTCTGGGCTTTCGAAAAGATGAAGATGCAAGGGGTAAAGAGACAGTCTTTTGAACAATCAAGCTGACATAAGGATTCTAGCTCGAGTATGAACAACCAACATAGTATATATCAGGCCCCAGCATCACTTGATCTTAGATTCGAGCTCCCGAATATTTTCAGGGTACAACACTTTTTGTAGACCAGTGTAATCCAATATTTTCTTGCTTAAAGCGTCCTCTGGCGACGATCCTGAACTGCTAAGCCACAACAACCTCAAAATCCACTCCACAACCTCTGGGAAGAAAACCTTCCACAAGTAGGTGACCTTGAACCAAGCTGGTACAGTAACATATCTCTCTCCGCGACAAGCGCCATTCACAATGGCCTTGGCACATTCTTCTACTTTCACCACAGGGATTATGCTCACTTGAACCTGAGTTATTCATCAAATCCCCCAAATTACATACTAATATCGCGTTTCAATAAAGTTCGTTTAATTTGGTTAAGAAAACTTACATCCCTCATTTGAGGATCAACATCTACTTTGCCAGTCTTGTCTATGAATTTCCCTTGTGTCATTTCTGATTCAACATAGCCAGGTGTGACCAATGTTATTTTGATGTCCCGTCCAAATTCAATCCTTAACGCCTCAAAAAACAGTGTCATCGCTGCTTTGCTTGCCTACAATAACACAAATGTAAGGGTATCAAAACGGAAAAAAATAAATAAATGAAAGCTGTTCATTAGGGGGTTAAAATTAGGAAACATCAAAGTTGGTGGACTTACAGCATAAAGGCTCATTCTTGGAGCAGGAATCCAAGATGCTGCAGAAGAAAGCACAATGATTCTACCTTCGCTACGTCTCAGGTAGGGAATCGCAAACTTTGTCATGTAAATTGAACCCCAGAAGTTGATGTCCTGCATATTTCAACATGACATTAGGTGTTGGGACACAGAACATGACATCAACAGCCACAACAACATAGCCAGTATAATCTCACAAGTTAAGTCTGAGGAGGATGTTGTGTACGCAGACATAATCCCTACCATCTACCCGTGACATGAATATATTATTATTACCATGATGGATCTAAAGTTAGTGATGTCTTCTATTTCTTCGAACAAAGCAACTGCAGTCACTCCAGCATTATTAACCAGATGATCCACTGCAATTCACACACGGAACAAAAAATTGGTCAAAATTAACATAATTAAAGCTTTCAAAAGCATAATAATAAGTAGGGGAATCAAACAAATTATAAATCAAATCTCACGTCGTCCAAAGTGACTCATGGTTCTATCAACAATCCTTCTGCAGTCGTCAACGTTTGAAACATCAGCTGGGACGACTAAAACATCCGGGGCGCCTAGATCAAGTGCCCTTTCGGCTACTTCAAGTAGACTCTTCTCTCTTCTGGCTGCAATGGCTAAGCATGCACCTCTTCTCGCGTATTCATAGGCCAAATCCAGATAAAAAAATGTCCTACTCAGTTTCATAATTTGTCCTTATTCAGCGACAATTTAACCTTAAACTATAACTAAACAAATGACCATAAAATTTACGTTTTTTTTTTCTTAAATTCTGCATTCAATCAAATACGATAGGGAGAGGCCTAAATAAGTAAAGTGAATATATAACCTCGCCGATGCCTGAGGATGCCCCAGTAATGACAACAACCTTGCCAGCAACATCCTCACTGTAAACTGTGCTCAATATTGACAAGATGTACTTGATGAATTGATAAGGTGGCAACAAAAACAACAAAGTAAACAAGGTAAATGGAGGAGCTACTAAGTTGAGAAATTTGTGAAGTAGGTCCAATAACATCATGGCTATTACTAATTGCTTAGTTATTTATTACAGCGGCCACGTAAAATGAAACGCAGAGAGTAGTAACTAACTAATTAATGAGCACCAACTGGCCTACTGCATCTAAAGTTGTGTACACATATATACTTGAGTACAATTCAGTATAATTTTGCAGACCAACAAGACAGGTATGCAGGGGATTAAAGGGACAGAGTAAGAGGCGAGGCGGGTCCAGAATTTAAAAGTGTACAGTGCATTCCTAAGATGATTTCAAGTTAATATGAAATAATAACTGAGTTCACAATCAATAATTTACAAACTTTTTTAATATAAATACGAAGAAACAACTTACTTAATAAAATTTATTATGTTTGTCAAATTATTTAGTAACAGAGATACATAGAAACAAAACGACCAACTTATTATATTTAATATAGATAGACAATTACGAATTTCATTCAGTTTCCTTTTCCTTTACTTGATCGAACAGCCCCGGGTCTTGACATCAACCAGCCGGGCCCAACATCACTCAGTCTTAGGTTCAAGCTCCCGGATATTTTCAGGGTACAAGACTTTTTGAACACCAGTGTAATCCAATATTTTCTTGCTTGGAGCATCCTCGGGCGATGCTCCCCAACTGGAAAGGTACAACAACCTCAAAAACCACTCAACAACATCTGGACAGAAAACCTTCCACAAGTAGGTGACTCGGAACCAAGATGGCACAGTAATGTATCTCTCCCCTCGACAAGCGCCATTCACAATGGCCTTGGCACAGTCTTCTACTTTCATCACTGGGGTTATGCCCACTTCAACCTGGTTTATTCATTAAACCCCCAAATTAGATACTAATATGGCGTTTTCTTGGTAATCACATCTAATTTGTGGAAGACTTGATCACTTAATAGACTAATTATAGAGACTGAAATTCAAACTCGTGACATTATGGTTCATCGTCACATTTTGACCCCGGGACTATCCCATAGAAACAAATCATAGTCTTGAACATATAAAATAAGGTTTTAACTAGAGACATCAATAAATTACGTTTAAATTGGTTTAAGGCATATATTGAAGTGATATTGCACAATGCACGGTATTAACGTATAACCATAGTTTAGTATAGAGGAAGTGTTCGTAAAAAATAACATATCATGTCATTGCAATAGTTTGTGCGCGAGAGAGGGAGAAAAGAGAAACTTACATCCCTCATTTGAGGATTAACATCTACTTTGCCAGTCTTGTCTATGAATTTCCCTTGCGTCATTTCTGATTCAACAAAGCCAGGTGTGACCAATGTTATTTTGATATCCCGTCCGAATTCAATTCTTAATGCCTCAAAAAACAGTACCATCGCTGCTTTGCTTGCCTACCATGCATAACATAAAAGTAATTAAGTCTACTTATCAAAATGAAAAAAAATGGAAGTTGTTCATCATTAGGAAACGGCAAAGTTGGTAGACCTACAGAGTAAAGGCTAATTCTTGGAGCAGGCATCCAAGATGCAGCAGAAGAAAGCACAATGATTCTACCTTCGCTATATCTCAGGTAGGGAATCGCAAACCTTGTCATGTAAACTGAACCCCAGAAGTTGATGTCCTGCAAATTCCAAAAAAAAAAAAAAAAAAAAACAAGTAATAGTAACAAAAGTAGAAACATGCCATTGAATAGTTAAAATCAAATTTAAAATTTTAATAGTTGTGAGGTAACATAAATAATCGGTATCATATGAAATTTCAGAGTGCCTTATAGATTAGAATGGAGGATGTCAAACCATTCGTAATACTTTGAGTAATTTCTATTTGATCATTTACCTGTGACATGAATATATGTTACTCCCACTGTCTAAAAATACTAGTCATGTTCTGCTTCTCGAGGGTCATTTTGACTAATCTTCGAAACTTAATTAGATAATTAATTTAAAAACTAGTATAAGATACAATTTTTCCCATATCAATGCAGGGGCGGAGCCACCTTATACTAAGGGGTTCATCCGAACCCCCTTCGGCGGAATATTATCTTATTTATACTAATCAATGTGGTGAAAAAATATATATTAAAACGTTGATCGAAGTTTATATAGTTTGACTCTGGAAAAAAAAAGTGACAAGTAATCTGAGACGGAGGGATTACTATTATTACCATGATGGATCTCATGTTAGTAATGTCTTGTATTTCTTCAAACAGAGAAACTGATGTCATTCCAGCATTATTAACAAGATGATCCACTGCAATTCACACGTTCAACAAAAAATACGTCAAAATTAACATTTTTAAATCTTTCAAAAGCATGATAATAAGTAGGAGAATCAAACAAATTAAATTGAATCTCACGTCGTCCAAAGTGACTCATGGTTTTATCAATAACCCTTCTACAATCTTCAACTTTTGAAACATCAGCTGGGACGACTAAAACATCCGGGGCGCCTAGATCAAGTGCCCGTTCGGCTACTTCACGTAGACTCTTCTCCCTTCGGGCTGCAATGGTTAAGCATGCACCTCTTCTTGCATATTCATAGGCCAAATGCTGTGAAATCAAGATTTTTTTATAGCTATCAAACTATCTATACATCAAAAAAATCCAAATAAAAAATGTCCAACATAGGCAATCCTTACTTTTTCAGCCACTCACTACAACAAAAACAACTTTTAGAGGCAATAAATGTAGACATTAATAAAGAGTGCTAAAGTCTTTACTGCATTAGTTAAGTGGCATTAGAACCAATGTCCCTAAAGGCTTTAGGGACATATACAAAGAGTGCTAACTGCCGCTAAAAATATATATTAAGTGGCAATTAAGCTATTGCCGTTAATTTGAATTAATAATTAGTAATGAGATAAGTTATCCCAAAACAATAATCTCGAGATAATTTATACTAGAATTAAATAATTAAAATGACAAAAATACCCCTCAAACTATTTTTGTGTATCACTTTCATACATTTTACCCTTACTTTTAAACAAACAATTTATTCTTAAAAATTATGACATCCATATTATTTTTAATACACAAACCAAACATTCACTAAAAAACAATACCATACAACTAATTTAATCATAACTTATATTCAACTCAAACAACCCATGTCCTACACAAATAATAATAAATTTTGAAGTACTAATAAAGTGCTTGGAGCTAGAATTTTTAGCAGGGATTCAAAATGAAAGAAGAAAACACACGAAAAAAATATGTCAAAGGTGTCAACATTAACTATATACACAGTAAAAAAAAATCATCTACAAACACTAAATTTGAAATGCTTAATTAAACAAAGAAAATAAGTAAAGTAAATATATAACCTCGCCGATGCCTGAAGAAGCTCCGGTGATGACAACAACTTTACCAGCTACATCCTCGCTGAAAATTTTACCCAATATTGAAAGGAAGTACTTGATAAATTGATAAGGTGGCAAGAAAATCAACAAAGTAAATAAGGTAAATGGAGGAGCTACTAAGTTGAGAAATTTGTGAATCAAGTCCAATAACACCATGGCTATTAGTATTAATGTTATTGTTTGCTCATAACAAAAAAATTGTGCAATGGACCGTTTATAAAGTGTGTTATAAAGAACAATGAAAGGGAAAAAAGAAATAGATGGAAACGTGGGAAGCGAGTGTAGTATTTGGTTTTTTGTTGAAGTATTAATTTGACACGTAGCCTACTATTTTTAGTAATAATATATTTTTGTTTTGTAGGATACCAATAAATTTAGTTGTGTCAACCTTAGTCAACAAATGACACTTGCTTGACTTATGTTGTAATACATGATGTAATAAACTTTATAATATTCTACTTATTAGTTCCTCAATAAGGAAAGAACTTAATTATAGACGGTTTTCTAGCTAGTTAGAGTTATGTTGTTGTTAGATATTAGTAATGTAAAGATTAATTATAAATAAATGTTTATATTATTTTATGTAAATAGTTGTTATGGAGCAATTAATTACTTATGATTAGGGCCCGTTTGGTCATGCGATATGGTATCATGATATGGAATCATGATATGGTATTATGATATGGAATCATGAGATGAAATTGAAGGTTTGTTTGGACATGCGATATGGAATTTTTGTGTTGTATATTTTCTTATAAACAAAAAAATCTCATAAGTTGTAATTTCATCTTCTATTTTATATAAATAATATTCCATATAATTTATTTTTTATACTTAATACATGTATTATGCATTTCTAAATTATCAACTAATTATCATCTTAATTTTATAACTAAATAATTTATTTACTATTTATCTATCAAACATCGTATATATAAAAGTTGATACACACAACCAATTCCTCATTCAACTACCAAACCGACCCCTAAGGGTGTATTCGTGGCACAAAGGAATTATCTTTTTTCAAGAGTAGCATATGCTTTTTAAGCAACAGATCACTCCTCACATGACTGTAGGACTCATTCAAGCTTATTAGAAACATCAATAACCTCTGTTGACTTAGATGTTCTATGTATGGTTTAGCTTCATCACAACTACATAGATCCCTTAATTTTGAAAAATAAGAGGTAACATAATCAGTACCTTGTTTTAGGGAGGACACCTCTGCCCAAAGGTGATACACTCTAGTGAGATTCGACTTATCAAATCTCTTCTTGAAGTCATCCCACACACGTTTGGCGTTTGAAGCATAAACTATGGAGGTGAGCAATTCAGAAGCCACAGTGCTGCTTATCCAGGACAACACTATAGCATTATACCTTTCCCATTGAGTTGCTAAATCCCCTTTGAATGAGCTTTTTTGGCAAGTTCCATTGACGAAACCCAGCTTGTTTTTCACCAACAGTGCAAGACGTAACGATCTACTCCATAGGCCATAATTTTCTGGACCTGTGAGTTTTGTCGCAATGAGAGCTGCACCAGGCATATCTGAAGCTTGAAGGTAAAATGGATGGCTGTGTTCAAGAGTCGCGACTGTTAATTCGGTCATTGCAAAGAGTAGATGACGATCTGATGTTGACTATACGTAGCTGAGAAGATCCCAGTCTCGCTTGCTCTGATACCATAAAAACTCTGTAATTATGTAGTAGGATCCATGAAAGTATAAGGGAGAAAAACTGATTTAGTAAAAGATATTTTGTATTGCACTTTTTCAATACATACAACTGAAGGAGAGAGCTCATTTTATAGATGATACAATCATGTAAAATGTGCTTTTAACAATCTAACAAACTCAATGTAAATGTGTTGTAATTCTGTTTCTAACAAATTCAACAATACTAACAACTTGTAACTAACTTACTTTAACTACCTCCACTTACTTATTGTATTATTAATACTGTTCTTAATAGTAAAGATTAATTATAAATGAAAGTATATATTATTTTATGTAAATAGTTGTTATAGAGCGATTAATTATTTATGATTAGTAATTTTATCTTATATTCTGTATAAAATAATATTTTATATAAATTTGCTTATACTTAATACATATACTATGCAATTCTAAATTATCAATTAAACATCATCTTAATTTTATACCTAAATAATTTATTTACTATTTATCTATCAAATATTGTATATATAAAAATTGATACACATGACACAACCAATTCTTCATTCAACTACCAAACCGACCCCTAAGGGTGTATTTGGTGGTACGAAGGAATTATTGTTTTGCAAGAGTTTCTTACGAATAATTTTTTATATTTGATATGTAAGTGAAAAAACATTATCGTATAATAACATTCTAAGAGGTGACATGGTGATGGTGGGAATAGAGGCTACGCAGTGCTATGGCAAATATGAGTGTGTAATCTATATGAAATGTCATTTTATGAATGATCGTACTTGTTTTTCCTGAATTTACTAGAAAGAAAAGTCATTTTCCTAGTTGATAAGAAACTTATTTTTTCTAAAAAAAAATTAAAAAATCTTCCTAAACTTTAGACAAACTGAACATGTGAAAATTAAAAAAATATTTTCCGCAGTACCTAACACACCCAAGTGTCAACTTTGTTTATATCATAGTAGAGTAATTCAAGTGATAGTATAAACAACTTCACATCATTAGTTGGGAACAAATTATGCAAATCGCAGTTTGTTTTAACTTTTAAGTATATATAAGAGACATTACATTGGGAAAATGTTTGATTAGCCTAAGGGTGTGTTTTGTACGAAGGAAAACATTTTTCGGAAAATATTTTTCAATTTTCTCATATTTAGTTGGGTTAAATGTTTTGGAAAACAAACTGCCACGTTTCTCTATATTTTAAAGTGAAAAGTGATGAGAAGAAGAAACTTTATTATATCTCTTTAAACTTATTTACTTAAACTTCCGTTTTAATTTATGTGATTTTGTTTGATCAAACATAAAAAAAACTTTGTTATTATGTGTATTAATTTGTACTTATTAAAGTCACTTCAATACTTACTTTTGATTAATTTTTTCTTCACCATAAAGTGTGAACTGAGACCCAATAAGGGTAAAAAAAAAAAAGAAACAGGGATTGTGCCATTAAATATGAGATATTTTTAAAAAACGGACTAAGAAGAAATGTGTCATATGAATTGAAACAAAGAAGTATTAATTTTTCTATCTTAATATTAAAGAATGCTATATATAATCCTCTATATGCTTTGAGTATGTACCTATATAGTACTTTGCACGCCCACTTATATTGTCCTTTAAATTGATTTTAGTGAGCACGAAACATCTATCTACCTTCCTCTAATCTTATTAATAAGTATTTTTTCTCTCTTTTACTCCATTTTTAATTTGTTTCTCTACCTTTTTCTCACATGCTATGACTAATGAGTGACTAATCCACACTATCTATTGCCGTATTTATAAGTAACACTACTTCTTAGATAGGTAATAGACATCTTTCAAGCTATATATATATATATATATATATATATATATATATATATATATATATATTGATCGTGCATTTAATTACCATGTGCCTACTTGGCCTTACTAACTAAATGAATTATTGATAATCAAATTAAACAAATATATGCTCCTCTGTAAAAATGCTCACTATTTTAGTAGGAGTTCACGGCGTTGGCCAAGCAGTGAAAACAACATCTTGCAAGAGTATAAAATAGAACTGTGCATATTAGATTCAACTTAGTTCGAGTTTTCAAATGATCATTTTAAAGGATATTTAATTTAAAAAGTTACGAGATGTATCTTGTCTTTCTCAACATTTTTCCATAATTCTATAATGAATTTTGACGTAAGTTTCATCTAATCTGAATATTTTAGGATCTATTTCTTCATAGTCTCTAAAAATATCTCAAAAAATAGCATCTTCATCTTGACACTACTATTACTAAAACGGATAACTTAATGCACAATGCATCCGCATTATCAGAAGGGCCGCCACTCATGATGACAGTCTTTCCTAATGTAAGTATTAATGATTGATTTCATGGTTCGAACCTATAACGTATGGATTCAGTATAATCTTTATTTCCCTAACTCTTCCTTGAACTAAGCATCCAAATACATTGACATTTACAGTTCTCCTCCCAAATCATAAAAGCATAAGGGTGAAACACAAAAGCAGCTCAAAAGCATAGGCAAGAAGATAAGTAAAAGATACAACTTTTCCTTCTCCATTAACTTTAAATAAAGTTAACTGTCTCCTTTCACTATCTTTAATATAATAATGATGTTAAGAGCTTAATTAAGCACATTCATTTTTCCAAAGCCTCTCTGTTTTCTGCAACTTTCCTCTGTTTTTAGAACAATAATGGATTCACTTCAAATGAAGAAGATTCAAGCCATCAACAAGTACAGGAAACAATGTCTTCTCAACAAGATCATGCTCTATTCTTTCACTTCTATGACTTGCATTTTGATTCTCTCAAGTCCTCTTTGGTATCCCCTTCTTCGCGCTTTCATAAAATCCCTTTTCTTCGACTCTATTCCCAAATTGGGTGCTCTGTTTTTCAGTTCTAAGTGCATTTTCTTAATTGGAAACATTATAGTCATAGTCCTTGTTGGAGAGTCCAAGATTTTCAAATCAAGATCTAATGTACTGAAACAGAGCTATGCAGCAGAGCAAGAAAATGATAATAAAAACTTCATCTTTGTTACTGGAGACTGTAAGATTTCAAGATCGAAATATTCTTCTTCTTTACCTTTTAGGGTAAATTTGAAATATGAGCTTGAGCAAGAAGAGGAATTCTGCGTATATGATAATAATGATGATGATGATGATGAAGAGGAGGAAAAGGAAAGTGTTAATCTTGAAAATGAGATGGATGGAATTAAGGGAAACTACTGCAGCAGCAATTACAGAGAGAATGAAGAATTAGAGAAATTTAAAGAGTTGAAATTTGAAACAGAGCCTAATGAATTAAGCAAGAGAGCCGATGATTTCATTGCAAGGGTCAATAATCAAATTAGACTTGAATCTGTAACAATGATTTAGGCTAATCATACATTTTCCCAATTGTAATCTCTCTTATATATATATACTAGGTAATGTTGTCCGTGCTATGCACGGGCACGGGCCCAATAATATAAATGGTATGTTTTGGGGCTAATAACGGAGATTTTGAAGAGATTGTTTGCGTGGATAAAGGAATAAGTTTTTTTATCACAAACTTGTACTTTATTTGACGCTATTCAAGGCACAATAAGACTATCCACATACAACATTTTTGAAATATTTAATGTTGTCAATTATCATGATTTATAGTATTTTTAGGATAGATTTACTTAAAGAATGAGTGGAAATTTTTGTATTTTTTTTTCAAAACATATTTTATGTTGTCAATTATCATGATTTATAATATTTTTACGCATTTTTTAAATATAAAAAACCCAAAAAAAAATAAGACAAATAAATTAAAATGGACCCAATATATGTTATTTTTGTTGTCTCAATTTATGTCACACAAATAAAATTTGGAGAGTCATCCAAATTTTAATTTTTTTAAAAAAAATGTTTTAAGTTATTAATTATTGTGATTTATAATATTTTGATGTAACTTTCAAATAACCAACATTACTGGTCACTTTGTTCTAATTTATGTGATATGGATAAAATTACAAAATTAACCCTTTTAAAATGTCTTTCAGATATTTTAAGTTGTTAATTATTATTATTTATAATACTTTTTTGGTAATTTTAAAATGATATGTGTTATTTTTTCTGTCCTAATATATGTGAGCCTGAAAGAATTCTGAGAGTGAACCTATTTTATTATATAGCTTTTAAATATTTTAAATTGGTAATTATTGTAATTTTTAATGCTTTTTAAGTCATTTGTAAATGATATATGTTGCTTCCTTTGTCCCATTTTATATAGTATAAATAAAATTCCCGAAACCAACTAAATTTTTAATATATTTTTTAAAATATTTAAATTATTAATTATTGCGATTTATAATATTAAAAAAAAAAGTACAAAACTTGTATCAGCCTAAAAAATGACCACGATAATTCGAAGCCTACAGAAAGCAATATGGTTGTACGTAATTTTTAAATACTTAATATATATTACTCCACTTGTCTGAATATATGTAGCATTGATAAAATTTCAAGATTCAATCAAATGTTGTTAATTGTTAACATTTATAATACATTTTACGTAGTTTTCAATAATTTCACATTAAACAATACATATTACTACTTTTATCTCATTTTATGTGACATTGATAGATTAATTTTAACAATCAGTCAATTTATTTTTTCTGTTTTTTTAATAAATATTTTAAGTGGTCAAAATCACGATTTATTGTGTTTTATACATAATTTTTAACGATAGATTAATTTCAAGAATTAATCGAATTTTTTTATATGAATTTATTTTTGAAATATTTTATGTTGTCAATTATCATGATTTATAGTATTTTTACGCAATTTTTAAATATAAAAAAAATTAAGACAAATAAATTAAAATGGACGCAATATATGTTATTTTTGTTGTCTCAATTTATGTGACACAAATGAAATTTGAAGAGTCCTCCAAATTTGCATTTTTTAAAAAAATGTTCTAAGTTATTAATTATTGTGATTTATAATATTTTTATGTAACTTTCAAATAACTTACATTGCTGGTCACTTTGTCCTAATTTATGTGATATGGATAAACTTACAAAATTAACCCTTTTAAAATGTCTTTCAGATATTTTAAGTTATTAATTATTATTATTTATAATACTTTTTTGGTAATTTTGAAATGATATATGTTATTTTTTCTGTCCCAATATATGTGACCCGGATAGAATTTTGAGAGTCAACCTATTTTATTATATATCTTTTAAATATTAAATATTTTAAGTCTGTTGTAAATGATTTATTATATTATATTATATATATATATATATATTTATTTCTACTATATAATAAAAGGGGTTTTATTATGATATTATATATTATATAAACTCCCTTTTATTATATAGTAGAAAAATAAATATACATTATATATATTATATAGTAGAAAAAATGATTTATTATATTATATATTATATAGGGAGTTTATGATGGGACACATAGAATGTCCCATGATAAACTCCCTCTTATATAATAGTAGAATTACAATTACAAAATTAACCCTTTTAAAATGTCTTTAAGATATTTTAAGTTGTTAATTATTATTATTTATAATACTTTTTTGGTAATTTTAAAATGATATATGTTATTTTTTCTGTCCCAATATATGTGACCCGGATAGAATTTTAAGAGTGAACCTATTTTATTATATATCCTTTAAATATGAAATATTTTAAGTCATTTGTAAATGATTTATTATATTATATTATTATATATTATATAAACTCCCTTATAGTAGAAAAATAAATATATATTATATAGTAGAAAAAATGATTTATTATATTATATATTATATATTATATATTATATAGGGAGTTTATGATTGGACATCACAATGTCCAATCATAAACTCCCTCTTATATAATAAGAGAACACTTAAAACAAACTGCAATTTGCATAATTTGTTCCCAACTAATGATGTGAAGTTGTTAATACCATCACTTAAATTACTCTACTATAATTAGAAATGACATATTGAGTTGATAACCCTTCGATTCATCTAACGGATGTTATCAAAACCACCCCGGTCTGTTATTTGAGTATTGTAATTGACATATGTTAGTTAAGATTAGGACAAGCAAAATCACACTCAATTCGCCAATACGTTTGAATTTGGACAGGGTAATAATCTGTCCATTTCTAAGCTCAATTCATTGAGAAAGACGAACTAATGCAATATATAAATTTTGTATAAACAGTGAATATAAATGTATAAACATTTCTAATACATGGTTATATATCATATATACACAGTTATACATTATTATACAATATCAATATATTTAATATAAATTCAGCCATTTAATTGACTTTGTTTAGAGAAAATTTCAGAAATAGCAATAATAAACATAATAAGACTATATAACTATAGTTTTGATGATTGCGCTCCATAGCTATAGTTCTATTTGCTATGTAGGTTGCGGTTTGTATATTTCTGTCGTTTGTATGTTTCGCTTGCGAATATACAAATAGGGTAAGTATATACAAATTATGTATTATACATTTAAAAAATTTCAGAACCCCATATGTATATTTCGCTTGCCAATATACAAACATGATAATTTATTATGAATTCTTCATAAATCGTACACAACTAGCTAAGGTAAGCATATACAAAATTCTGAATTTATACAATCAGGAGCCGAGATTCTGGATTTATACAAATCACGCAAAATATACAAATAATAACGAGATTAGAGAAAACTGCTATTGTGAATTACAATTTTATCAAACTATAGCTATAATACCTAATATAGGCTAAATATTTAATATTCTGCATATTCCTTTTTTATCACTTGCAAAGTTAGAAGCTATTAAATTTGGGCATAACCCAACTAAATCCATTTATTTCTAGTAGCTCAAATCAACCCACAGATTTAGCCCAAAGTGACCCGTTAAGAGATTTAATAAAAGTTGGATTAAGTTGCACGGATTAGACTATAACGGATTGTTTAGTCTAATATTGATCTAATTTATCTTCACACAATCAAATTTCAATCCGTTCAAATTTAATTGAGACAACTAATTTACCACCCTGATCTAAATAGTATCTATAGTGATTTTCTCTTTGGGCTGAAAGACAATAATTGCTTTCTGCTTCACTAAGTTTTGTCTCGTCAAATTGACATTTTTTACCAAATAAAAACAGAATCCAAGAACACAAAGAAAGGAAAATAACACAGAAAAAAAGAGGTCAAGTTATATGCATTAATGGTGCAAACAATATTCTATAATTTATACAATCACATCACTCATTACATAATTATAGATAAATTATTTTTACAAGCAATACTTAATAATTGAAAATTTGATAAAAATGATAACTGATTTGCTATTATATAATATTACTCACTGATTGTGAAAAATACTATTCTTGGTTTACTGTTAAAATAGGTCATAGCTCCACACTAGGTTGTGAATGAACAGATAGTGTGCTTATATAGATTCTCTAGTTTAGTTATCCTCCAATGTCATATCTTTATATGGCATCAGAGTCAGATTATTCTCCGTTTGATATCCCAGTCCACTTAGAATGGATTACAATCTCACATTAGTTAAGAAATAGATCAATGATTTGATTATATATTTGAACAATCCTCCCTTTACTGTTTATCCTTTAAGTATGTAATGAAGCATTCAAATTTCAAAATTACATACAATGAAAATAAACAACCATACACATTAGAGAAACCGACCGGCTAATCTTAATTATTATTTTTGAATTGTAAATTAAGGAGTACAAACACATATCAAAGCTTATGTTAGATACTAATTGATACATAACATTCATATTAGCAGCAATGTCTATTTGATCTACAACAACATAACTACATTATCTTGATGTGGCACATATCCACGTAATTAAGACCATTCATAGCCTAATTTGATGCTGCATCCATCCTCAATGACTTTAAATTAATGATCTCCCTGTCCAAAAAAAAAAAAAGATACATTGAAATGATCAAAGTCAAACAATTAATCACATGCACTTTAACTAAAGTTAATAAGGTAGTAATAATTCCTTCCATTTTCCTCCTTTACTACTTTTTCTTTTGTATCATTCTTTTAAAGTGAAATTTGTCATGGAGTATTTTTATTATTTTAATAGAAACAAGAAAATAAAAAACAAAAAAAGGGAAAAAGTTAGAATTTCACCTTCTTGAGGGTGATGTAATCCACAATTTTGTTTTTGGTTTTTCCATCTGGAGATTGAGACTTGTGGTGGATAAATGAAGATCCATATTTCTTGATGAGTTTTTCCCTCACAAATTTGTTATAGATAAAAGCAGCTCCTCTGAATTGGGGAAGAACCAACCATGCCACCATTCCCAATTTCACCTCATACCAAATTGGTATCCTACCAATATATGCACCCAAATTAACATGGACAGTCTCGTACACAAAACATTTTTCATTAGCAGGGTCCGAGAAAGAATCACACCCCAAGAGGTTGTAAAACATGATTTTCTCACCTATTTTTCACTGAACCAGCTCATTGAGAAAACGTATAAGGGTAACAAATTCTCACCTATTCAATCTAGATATATGTATGTGGGGATCGCCACTAAACATTTTTCAATAGAAAATTTCAATGGAAAAATAGAGTAATATTTTAATAATGAATGTAGGTAGATAACCTACGCTAATGCAAGTTAGCCTCCATTGCTACATATACAGTTGAATTAAAATCAATTTTTTTGCTCGGAGGAACAATTGAAAAGCTTAATGAATTACCATTGTAGAATAGGTTGAAGAAGCATCTCCATAAGAGTAAGAAAAGAGTATAGAATCCAATAAGCAAGCCATTGTTCATCATCCAACTTTGATGTGCTCTCTATTGCTACCACTGATGCATATCTACACAATAAACCAAAATAATAATAATTAAACTTTTGATACTTACATATAAAACAAATATTTTATATAAAGAAATGAATTACTTACAGAGGATAGAGTAACATCACCACTGGCCTGCATATTTATTCAAAAAGAAAATCAGAATAATTATAAGGGTTAACTAAAAAGACTAATTAAGCCATGGTTAAGAAATGAAAGAAGTTAATTAGTACCCGGCTAGAGCATGTAGATGAGTAAGCAAAGCCCACAATTTGCTCATGATTTATGGTATTTAATCTAGCCTGCCAATTGTAATTTGGATTTCAATAATTGACGAAGACAACATATTTATAGTGTCAAAAATGGCATTTGATTCTGGTCTTTGACGTGACGTTCTAGGTTCTCCACCGACCAACTCCATTTACAACTTTACGTACCGACACGATCTAACATTTCTTAAACCAAATCTAACTTAATAAACTCACACTCATGATACTGGTCCAATAAGTAATTAGCTAATTAGAGGGAAAATGAGGAAATTTCGTGATAGTCACTAAAAACAACTTACTCATATCTATAGTTTGCTCGTAGCTATATGTTACATGGAGGAGATCGAGAGGTGAGCAAGAGAGAGGGGGAGGGATGAATTGTATTTATATATTTATCGAATTATTACATATGTATAATTATATATATATATATATATATATAATTGATATACATATGTATTTGTATATCTAACGAGCGAGATTGGAAGAGAGAGAGATGAGTCAGAGGCAAATTATATTTGTATATATGTCATATAATTGTATATGTATATGTATAATTTGTACTTGTATATATATGAAAGTGGAGAAAGGCAAGATAAAAGAAAAGTGGAGAGAGGCGGTATAGCTAAAAAGAGACTGCAAGTGGCAATTAATTCAAACTATTACCACGAGGTGCAAGTTTCTCAAACGTCTCTATGGGATTTACTACATTAATTTGTTGTGTAATGGCATATATAGTCCCTCCGTTTTAATCCGTTGATAATCTAAATTTGATTTAATAAATTAAAAATAAAATTAAAACAAAAGAATGACATAACCAATAATTAAACCTCCTCACCTTTTTAGATGTCATTCTTATGATAAATAGTTGGTTCATAATATTTGTCACTTTATAAAATTAGTGCATAAATTACAATATTCTTCCTTTTTTACCCTTGTGAGTTATTAACCTTGAAAATATATAGTTGATCAAAAAAAACTAAGTGAATAATTAATGTTCATTGGTCAAATTAATTGATCAAATAAATTAATTCATATTCATTGATTGAAAAATTGACTTAAAAAAAATTAAATACAGATAAAACAATAAACTTACTTAATTTCTTATTGTACCTGAAATAAAAAATAGTGACATATAAATAGAAACGGAAGAAGTATCAGCTTCCTTGATGTTGGTGTTTAATTATTTATATATGAATATGATAGATGGCATTTCCAAGAAGAGAAGTCACGTGATCATGTTATCGATGAAGTGGGCGGTGAGAGGTTCCATTCCATACAATGCATGCAGGAAACAGCATCTCTCTCTAACCAACTTTTAATTTGTTCTGACCATCATCAATACAATTCTAGGTATGCACTTCTTTCCTTAGTAAAATTTACTAAGAGTTTATCTACTAAACTGATTTTAATAATGATATTTTGAAATTTTAAATTTAATTTTTATGATTTTTTGGTTAATAAATATTTATATATATAACTAAACAAATTATTTTTTAAAATTGAACAAGTAACATGAATCATTTATCTTTGATATGGGGGAAAGGGAATATGAAATTGAAGAGTCTAAAAAATTAATCAAATTGTGGATGATAAAAAATAGGTGTCAACATACAATTGTCCCGTCTTTTGGTTAGGATTGATGAAAGAGAGTTTGAACAAAGGAAATTCACAGATTCAATTTTATTGAACCACTAATTTATTACTTGAAAAAAGTGATTGATATATAAAATTTAAGAATTTTTTTGGTTAAATTTGATACCGAATTCTTTACATATCTCATGTTATGTGAGTCACTTATATACAATTCAAGATGCTTGATTTAAAACATGATTTTAAACATTTAAAACCTATTATTCCATCTTTGGATTATGGAGAGACAAAGAGCTTGAGAGTTACAAGACGAGTAAAGGTTTCTTTAAATACAATTAAATTTTGAACATTAAACTCAACCTACATATCTCAAAATTTGTGAAATCAAATTACTTATAGATTGACTTAATTGATTAAAAAAATATTTTTTTATGCTAAAACGGTCTTTAGCTTAAAATGAATGACAAATAAATTGAACATAGAAAAAAAAACTTACAACCTCTTAATTATAAATAATGTGCACTTCACATTGATCATAAGATACAAGTTACATGAACATAATCTCCACAGCTCAAGGTGCATGGGAGAGCCATTTTAAATATTTTGGTTATCCAATCATTATGTAATGGACCGGAATGATTACTTGTTTTTTTAAAATTATTTATCTATTATTTATTCAGTTTTATTTGTTTTTCAAAAGTCATCCAATTTTATCTAGTAAATAACTTCCATAGTCATTCAACTTTACTTATTTCATTTTCATGATCATTTTAGTAGAAAAATACAATTTAAAAAAAAAAATTATTTAAAAATTTAAAATTAATGAATAGTTAGATTTATTTAGAATCCAAATAGCTAAATCTGATTCAATTCTTGACTTTTAAAATGATTGACTATCTAAACGACATTCTTAATAACATTCAATTAAAAGGTGATTACTTAATTTGATATTTTTCCAAAGTTAGAAATCATATATGAGCTCAATATCGAGTAAAATAAGTAGACAAATGAGTCTAGATCTAATATTTTAATTTTAAAAAATTATATATCAAAATCGATCACAAAAAACTAGCTAGTAATCCTCTATATGCCTAGTCCAAATTTCTTAACTAACATGAGATGATATAACAACAAAGAAAAACATGGGTGTTTGAAGAAAAGCAAAGGAGTATTTTGAGACAACTTGTTCCCTTCAACCATTTTTTAGTAATGTAAATATGTAATATTACTTCGTTTTTTTCTTTTTTGGGGGGCATTAAAGGGAATATATATTAAACAACCTATTTATTACATGTAATATTACTTCTTAAATGTAATTAACCTAGACTTCAAAAAGGTTTATTTAAGACGTCCATTTCAACTTTATGTTTGGAACATATATAGGACCAGCTAAATATATATGAGTATTAATTTGACATCTTTAATTATATTATAGCATCATGCAAGGATATCGTTTATTAGGCAGGTTTCATGCTTTATCTATGTGAAACGAATAAATTCCCTACTTTGTATATATGATGAATATTGTAATATTGCAAATGTTCAATATCGAATATTTTCTCTTCGCATGTCTTCAGTATGAAATAAAATATTTCTTATGAAACCATGGTTAGGAAAATATTCTTAGAAAAAATGGAAAATAAGTTGTTTCTTACTTATTTGGGATGTGGTTAAATATGAGGTGTACGTGTTGTAGGTAGGAGAAGACACAGTTAAAATGTGTTTGGTATGAAGGAAAATGTTTTCATGAAAAATGTTTTCCTAAAAAATGTCTTCTTGGAAAACAAGTGGATTTCTAACTTATTTTCTCATGTTTAATGCGAGATGTTTTGTGCATCAAGTTATCCTTTTTTGTAATAGTAGTGTGAAAATGAAGATGCTATTTTTTGAGATTTTTTTAGAGACTATGAAGAAATGATCCTAAAATATTCAGGCAAGATGAAATTTATGTCAAAATTCATAATAGAATTACGGAAAAATGTTGAGAAAGACTAGATATATCTCGTAAGTTTTTAAATTAAATTTCCTTTAGAAAAAGTACGTTTGATACATTAAGCTTAAGTTATGTGAGGAGAGAAAAACTCGAACTAAGTTGTATCTATTATGGACAATTCTATCTTGCACTCTTGCAAGATGTTGTTTTCACCGCTTGGCCAACGCCGTGAACTCCTGCTAAAATAGTGAGCATTTTTACAAAGGAGAATATATTTGTTTGATTTGATTATCAATAATTCATTTAATTTATAAGGCCAAGTAGGCACATACACGATCAAAATATATATATCCTGCTTGAAGGTGCCTATTACCTACCTAAGAAGTTGTGTTACTTATAAATACGTAGTGTGGATTAGTCACTCATTAGTCATAACATGTGAGAAAAAGGTAGAGAAACAAATTAAAAATGGAGAAAAAAAACGTATTTAATAAGATTAGAGGAAGGTAGATAGATGTTTCGTGCTCACTAAAATAAGTTTAAATTATGATATACTAATTAAGTGACCGTGCAAAGAATATAACCATATAGGTACGTAATCAAAGCATATATAGAATTATATAAGTAGAATTCTTTAATATTAAGATAGAAAACTAATACTTCTTTTTATTTCAATTAATGTGATACCTTTTTTTTAGTCCGTCCTGAAATAAATATTCCCTATTTAATGGCACAATCCTCATTTTTCATCCTTAATGAGTTTGAGTTAATACTTTTTTGTGAAGAAAAGTAAACTAAGAGTAAGCACTAAAATAACTTTAATAAGTACAAACGCATAATAAAGTCTTTTCTTATGTCTGGTCAAGCCGTTCACGTAAATTAAAACGGAAGGAGAAGTAAATAAGTTTTAAGTGAGATATAATAAAGTTTCTTCTTCTCATTACTTTTCATTTTAAAATATAGAGGAACGTAGCTGTTAGAACTTAGAAGGGAAACTGACTTCTAGTTTAAGTATTGATATTGATAAATGGCATTGAGTTGATAGCCCTTCGTTTAATCAAACGGGTGTTATCAAAACACCCCCCGCCTGTTATTTCAGGATTATAATTGGCATATGTTAGTTAAAGAGGCAAAAATCAAACTCAATCTGCTAATCTGTTTGAATTTGGGCGGGATAATAGTTTGTTCATTTATAAGCTCAATTCATTGAGAAAGACGAACTAATGCAATATATAAATTTTGTATAAACGGTGAATATAAATGTATATACATTTCTAATATATGGTTATATATCATGCATTCACAGTTATACATTATTATACAATATCGATAGATTATGCTATATAAATTCAGCCATTTAATTGAATTTTTTTTATCATATGATATATTGCGCTAGTCTTTTTAGTAGGACTTTAACCCTAGAAAATAGGACTTCAAAAATTTGTGATTGTAAAATTAGTTAAATGTAGAACTTCCCGTAATTTTTAGTAATATACATATGAAGATTTATTTGTGGATGTTTAGAATGCTTATTGGTATCTTTAATAAGTGTTGGATTAAGTAATTGCTTTCTGCTTCACTAAGATTTGTCTCGTCAAACCGACATCTTTTACCAAATAAAAACAGAATCCAAAGAACACAAAGAAAGGAAAATAACACAGAAAAAAAGAGGTCAAGTTATATGCATTAATGAGGCAAACAATATTCTATTATTTATGCAATCACATCACTCATTACATAATTATAGATAAATTATTTTTATAAACATTACTTAGTAATTGAAAATTTGATAAAAATGACATTTGATTTGCTATTATATAACATTACTCACTGATTATGAAAAATACTATTCTTGGTTTAAGTTAGAATAGGTTATATATAGTTCCACTAGATTCTCGCGAGATAGCTTTTATAGTTGAGTTATGTTCCGATGTCATATCTTTTTATGCTATCAGAGTCAGATTATTCTCCGTTTGACATCCCAGTCCACTTAGAATGGGTTACAATCTCACATTAATTGAGGAATAGACTGATGATTTGCTTATATAGATTTGGACAATCCTCCCTTTTACTGTTTATCCTTTAAGCATGTAATGCATTCAAATTTCAAAATTACAATGAAAATAACCATACACATTAGAGAAACCGACCAGCTAATCTTTATTTTATTTTATTTTATTTTTGAACCGTAAATTAAAGAGTACAAACACATATCAAAGCTAATGTTAGATACTAATTGATACATAACATTCATATTAACAAGCAATGTCTATTTGATCTACAACAACATAACTACATTATCTTGATGTGGCACATATCCACATAATTAAGACCATTCATAGCCTAATTTGACGCTGCATCCATCCTCAATGACTTTAAATTAATGATCTCCCTGTCCAAAAAAAAAAAAAGATACATTGAAATGATCAAAGCCAAACAATTAATCACATGCAAAGTTAATAAGCTAGTAATAATTCCTTCCATTTTCCTCCTTTACTACTTTTTCTTTTCTTTTGCTCATTCTTTTAAAGTGAAATTTGTCATAGAGTATTTATCTTAATAGAAACAAGAAAATAAAAAATAAAAAGGGAAAAAGTTAGAATTTCACCTTCTTGAGGATATATGAAGATCCATATTTCTTGATGAGTTTTTCCCTCACAAATTTGTTATAGATAAAAGCAGCTCCTCTGAATTGGGGAAGAACCAACCATGCCACCATTCCCAATTTCACCTCATACCAAATTGGTATCCTACCAACATATGCACCAAATTAACATTCACAATTACATGGAGAGTCTCATACACAAAACATTTTTCATTATCAGGGTCCGAATAAGAATCACACCCCAAGAGGTGTAAAACATGATTTTCTCACCTATTTTTCATTGAACCAGTTCATTAAGAAAACGTATAATTGCAACAAATTCTCACCTATTTTTCACTAAACATTTTTCAATAGAAAATTTCAATGGAAAAATAAAGTAATATTTTAATAATGAATGTACGTAGACAACCTATGCTAATGCCTCCATTGCTACATATAAAGTTGAATTAAAATCAATTTTTTAGTTAATTACCATTGTAGAATAGGTTGAAGAAGCATCTCCATAAGAGTAAGAAAAGAGTATAGAATCCAATAAGCAAGCCATTGTTCATCATCCAACTTTGATGTGCTCTCTATTGCTACTACTGATGCATATCTACAAAAAACTTTTCATACACGATAATTATATATATAACAAATGTTTTATTTAATAAACAGATGAATTACTTACAAAGGATAGAGTAGCATCACCACTGGCCTGCATGCATATTTATTCAAATACAAAATCAGTATTATTATATGGTTAAACTAAAAAGATTAATGAAAGAGGTTAGTGAATTAGTACCCAGCAAGAGCATGGAGGTGAGTAAGCAAAGCCCACAATTTGCTCATAATTATTATAGCCAACTGAAATAAAAGAACAAAAGATTGGAATTCAATAAGTAATTAGCTTAGCTTGGAGGGAAAATGTACGGTTAAAAAAGATAACTTACTAGAGGCGGAGTCAGAATTTGATGTTTGTGAGTTCTAAATTTTAAAACAGAACAACATATTAGCCTATAAGCATATCATTATAATTGCACTCGACAAGTTGTTAAGTTTTGAAAACAGAAATGATGCATCATTTGGTACACTTTCAAACACTTCATTTATTAATATGAAGATTTGAGTTATTTATTTCAAAGTTCTAAAATATTATTTGGTAAAAGGTAGATAAGTGTTATGTTTTAGTATAAATTTTGAACATTCTTTTCTATAATCTCAATATTATTTTAAGTAAAATTAAAATTATTAAATTCACCATTAATATTTTTGGAACTTAAAGGGAAGGTTTTACTTGCTTCACTCTCTCTTGAGCCACTCTTGCCTTGAAAGTTGAAGTTCCCAGAAGCAAACAATAACTTAATTAATATAATAATTATTAATACAAAGCAGTCCTAAAATCAAAGATTAAAAATAAGATCTTTGAATAAATTGTTATACAATGTAAAGACAAATAATAAAAAAAGAGAAAAGGGAGAGTCGAGGAGGAATTGAGAAGAGTAAATAGTACTTATCGGGGCAGAGGTCTGCACTTTGACAACAAGCAGTAGCAATGAAGTTGGTAGTAAAAATTAGAATCCTAACTTTTTAAAAAATTAAATTTTGGATTTAACGTTTTATTGAATGCTTCAAAAGAAATCAATAGTTTAGAGTATGACACTATATTTTTGTTACTTACAATTATCTATTTTGAAATTAATAGTCAGATGTTGTTTTGGAGTATGACACTAATTTTTTATTATTTTCAAGTATCAATTTTCTGCTTTTATTGTTTGAGAAAGAATTTAGGAAAATCTATATAGAAAAAATTGAATTAAATGAGGGTAAAAGATAGGCATAAAGCACATTATTAATCCAAAATAAAAAAAAATCAGAAAAATTGAATTAAAATAAAAAATTGAATAGTTTCCCGTGGGGCTTGAACCCTCATCCAAAGAAATCAGCGTTGCTCGCACGCTTACCACTATGCCACCCACCTTAGTTTGATGTGGGTTCGCACACAATATTTACATATATTTGTACATGATTTTATATTATGTATATTGGTCTACGTAAAAGGCAGTGGATTCGTCCGAAACCTCATTTAACATTGTAGCTCCGTCCCTGTAACTTACCCATGTTTAATTAACACAAAAATAGTTACTATTTCAAAGAATTTATAAGCGTAACTGTAGCATGTATACCGCGAAGAAATACTACATTAATTTGTTGTGTAATGTATATAGGGAAAAGGGTCAAAAATTCCCTCTACCTATTAGAAATGGTTCAAATACCCTCCTTCCACCTTTTGGTTTAAAATGTCCTTAACGTTTTTTTTTAGGTTCAAAAATGTCATTTAGTTAACAGAAATATGACATGGAATTTAACTTAACAAATGGTCAATTTTCATTGGTCCACCTAATTTTTTTTATCAAATTAAAAAAAACCCACCCACCCATCCCAACACCCAAACCCGTTCTAGTAAGTCTAACCCAACTGTTATCTCTCTTCATTCTTTCTTCTCCTCCCCCTTTCTCCCATCTGCCAATTTAACTTTATTTAATTTTTGTTTCCTTCCTTCAAATTCAATGTTTAAAAAATTTATTTGCTTCTCATAATCAAGGCTAATCACGTAATCGCTATTGAAGATTGATTGCAAATCATTTCATGATGTGGATGCGGATATGTAAATTCCCACCTTGCGACATCAGTAACCAACAATTTAAAATTTCAACAATATAATACGAGACTTGTTAATACAGTTCTAAACTTATTTTGGTCAAGAAATCTACTGTGTAATTTTGGTGGATTTGAATTTACATTTAGTTGTTATTTTTTTATTTCAAGCTTTCATTTTAATTTTTGTTTGTTGGGTTGAAAGTTGTTTTTTAGCTTAAAATCCACATTTTATTTATCAAACTTGCTGCAATTTAGCTGTAAAAATGCATATTTTAAATGTTGTTTTGTTAAATAGTGCAATGTACCTGTTTTTTGGCCAGTTAAGTGCTGCAATTTACTGTTGTTTTTGGAATTGAATGTTGTTTTTTAAAGAAAGAAAACAGAGGAAGAAGAAAGAGCAGAGAAAGGCTTAAAACTGATGGTGAAAATGGGTTTGGGTATTGGGATGGATGGGTTTTTTTTATTCAATAAAAATTTAGGTGGACCAATGAAAATTGGCTATTTGTTTAGTTAAACTTCATGTCATATTTCTGTTAATTAAAGGGCATTTTTGAACCTAAAAAAAGGTTAAGGACATTTTTAAATCAATAATTAAAAGAGAGCATTTTTGAACCATTTCTAATAGATTAAGGACATTTTTTACCCTTTTTCCATGTATATATATAATCCCACCGTTTTAATTTATTGGTGATCTGACTTTTATTTAACATGTAGTATAAACAAATTAAAAATAAAAATAAAACAAAAGAATGAGCATAACCAATTAAGCATATCAGCTTCTTCAATGCTGCTGTTTAATTACTATTTATTTATATATGAATAATATGATGATGGCATTTCCCGGGAAGAGAAGTCACGTGATCATGTTATCGATGAAGTGGTCGGTGAGAGGTTCCATTCCATACAATGCATGAAACAGCATCTCTCTAACCAACTTTCAAATTCTATGTATGCACTTCTTTCATTTTATATTATTTCATTTATGTTGATTATAAATTAGAAATTTTATAGAGGAAATAGCCAAAAGCCTCTCTAAACTATTATCCAATTCTCAACTATACACTTATTCATCACGAAAGTTCTATTATCCCTTTCAACAATTTTAAAGTGGTCCCTAAATGTTGAAATGACAAAGAAAGTGTAGTTCACTAACTTTGAGAGATTGAGAGGTATAAACAATAATTAAAACTTTAATTTTAAAATTATATATATATATACATATTCTCTTATTTATAAGCCAACAATCAAAGGACGAACACGGCTTCTAAAACTTGTACTTCATGCTGGAAACATAGTGGGGACAAGCAAGGGTAATTCTGTCACAATAAATTATTTACTTTATTGTAATGCACGAGTCCCTGCAATGACTGTAGAACTTCCACGTTGCTTTTCTTTTCCCATTCCATCAAGCAACAAGCAGAAATACACAGTCGACTACTCTTCTTCTTTCACAATCTCATTCAAACCCTTTCTCATTTGAAGGCTTCATTTGATTTCACTCTCCAAGCTACACTGTTGGTATTATTGTTAAATGGGGGTGATGATTCAACTTCATGAATGGTATGAAATTAAGTTAGTATTGGTATTGATTCGTATGATGTGGACGCTATTTAAGTTCCCAGTGCTCAGAAGAATGAAAAAATCATTGTTTTTGGTCTGTTTGTAGCGGTGGTAAGGGTACTATAGCATTCCCTCTCCCCTTGGCCCTTGATGTTCTTCTTTTGTCATGTTCTTCTGGTGTATAATGTTAATACACCATTTATTAGAAATGCATGTGCCATGTGAATGTGATTAAGGGAAGGACATATTTTCCAAATCTTATCATCAGAAAGGGTTCTGAAACAATGGTTTCTAACTTAAGTTGCTCAGACTCTCCAAAAATATTGTCGCACCCGTACGACATTTTGAGTCTGAGCAACATAGCTTCTGACTATTAATCCTACTTAGTGTCTATATATTCAAATAAGAAAATGTAAGGAAATTCACCCTTTACTCCTTTAGACATCCTCGTGGGATTATGGAAGAGATATATCAATTTAAGGTTGGTAAATATAACAACTCAAAGTAAGAGAAAGATCAATGAAAATTATAATTTGGTCAAGGGAAATAATTATCTAATATACTTGGCACTAATTAAAGGAAAAGTACTAATCTTTGATATTAGGTAGAAAGTGAAAGTTTTCGGCATAAGTTAGAGGTATTAGATTTAGTAACTTAAGTTCACTATGTAGAAATCATTGTAACTACGTTGATTTCAGTTACAATATCATCATTCATGTGGATGCATGTTCTTAATGTTTGATTCGCAAGAATGATTTGATAATGTGATTCAACGCTCCTCCGCCTACTTAAATCATACTAATCCAGAAGCAAGCAGTAAAAGATAAAATAACAAACAGACAAGTAATATAACATTAGCAAAGATTCCAAATGCTAATGAGTTATACATATGCAGAATTTAAAGCTAGCCTTAAGTTGCCTCTAAACATAGGACACAATAACTTAAAGAAAATTAGGCTAGTAGACAGAAAGTAAAGAATTTACCTTTTGGAGCGCAGCCAACTGAGACGATGACGAGTTGAAAAGCTTTCCACCACCACCAACGGTGAACCAACTACTCAAAAATAACAAAAGAAAAATGATCCTTTTTTTTTCGACCGTCAATCCCCTCTCAACAGTAAAAGAACTAGGGCAGATTTGTGGGGGGATGAAATTGAATTCGAAATTCAAATTCTCGCTAGAGGATAAGGTTGGCAACGGATTTCTAATGGAGAGAAGTGAGCAAGGAGATTGTAACACCTGGAGTCTACTCCAACGTTCAATCGGCTCGCTCGGATTCGCTGATTTCAGTCGCGATTTGGGTTTCGATTGAAGGAAGAAGAAGAGTATTGTTTTGATTGAAGATAGGACTGGAAATCATAAAAAGGCCCCAACGGTTGGTCTCTCTAATGGGTTGAAAACAAGGTTTGTCAATGGGCCTAATAGATTGCAACTATAGCCATTAAAGTTCAAACGTAGCCAAATTGAATTAATTGGTGAATTCGGCTAAA